AGGCGGGGGGTGATGGCGAGACAGCCGCCGTGGCGGCGTCTCAGGGGGCCGACGACCCCGCTACTCCTGCTCCTTTCCCTCTCTTTGTTCCCTCTCAGCCAGGAGGAGCTGGGGGGCGGCGGGGGCCAAGGCTGGGACCCGGAGGTCGCTGCTGCGACGGAGTCAGGGGCGCGGATCGGTGGTGGGGCCTTAGCTCTTTGTCCCGAGCCTCCCGAGGCCCGAGAGGATAGAGAGCCTGGCCTGGGAGTCAGGGAACCTATCTTCGTGGGGCTCCGAGGGGGAAGGCAAAGCGCCCAGAGTGGTCGAGGGTCCCCTGGGCAGCCGGACGCGGGGCTTGGGGCGGAATATGGGGTCCAGGCATTCAGTAGCCGCGGGCTAGAGACAGGACAGGGACCAGGGTCTCTGTTATGCTGGCTCCCAGAGGTGGTCTCTTGTGGACGGACAGGACCCTTACGAAGAGATAGTTTGTCGCCAGAGGCTCTGTCCCCAGGGGTCCCGGGCCCAGAGAACAGCTTGCCCTTCCCTTCAGACCTCCTGGTTCGGCCCCGTGTTTCCAAGCTGGTATTGTCCCAAAGGAATGCTGGGAGAGGCGCCCCCAGAAAAGTGGGAACCATGCGATGCTGCGGGGAATGGTGGGTGCCTGGACGCAGGGGTCAAAGCAAGAGCACCCTGACATCTCGAGCTGAGAGGACAGGCACTCGGGTGGACTGTTCTCCTGGAGCTGCAGGGTCTGGCCCCGCGCTGGATTCAGCACCGCGCACGGCGAGGACAGCTCCGGCTTCTGGTTCAGCACCGCGCGATTATCGGACAGCTCCCGAGCCGACGCCCAAGCGCATGCGCTCCCGTGGTCTCTTCCGCCGCCGCTTCCTTCCGCAACGCCCGGGGCCAGGGCCCCCGGAGGTCCCCGCCCGGCCAGGACCCTGGAGAATACCCCTAGTGAGCCGGGTCCGCCCCCGTCGCGCCGCGAACCGCCACCCGCAGTTTCCGCAGTACAACTACCAGGCGCTAGTGCCCGAGAACGAGGCGGCGGGCACCGCGGTGCTACGCGTAGTGGCGCAGGACCCAGACGCGGGCGAGGCCGGGCGCCTAGTATACTCGCTGGCTGCGCTCATGAACAGCCGCTCGCTGGAGCTGTTCAGCATCGACCCGCAGAGCGGCCTCATCCGCACAGAGGCCGCTCTGGACCGCGAGAGCATGGAGCGCCACTACCTGCGCGTGACGGCGCACGACCACGGCTCGCCGCGCCTTTCGGCCACCACCATGGTGGCCGTTACAGTGGCCGACCGCAACGACCACGCGCCGGTGTTTGAGCAGTCACAATATCGGGAGACACTTCGCGAGAACGTGGAGGAGGGCTACCCCATCCTGCAGTTGCGTGCCACAGACGGCGACGCGCCCCCCAACGCTAACCTGCGTTACCGCTTCGTGGGGCCGCCAGCTGCGCGCGCCGCCGCCGCCGCCGCCTTTGAGATTGATCCGCGCTCGGGCCTCATTAGCACCAGCGGTCGCGTGGACCGCGAGCACATGGAAAGCTACGAGCTGGTGGTGGAGGCCAACGACCAGGGCCAAGAGCCTGGGCCGCGCTCTGCCACCGTGCGTGTGCACATAACCGTGCTGGACGAAAATGACAACGTGCCTCAGTTCAGCGAGAAGCGTTATGTGGCTCAGGTGCGTGAGGATGTGCGCCCCCATACGGTGGTGCTGCGCGTCACGGCCACCGACAGGGACAAGGATGCCAATGGACTGGTGCACTACAACATCATCAGCGGCAACAGCCGAGGCCACTTTGCCATCGACAGCCTCACAGGCGAGATCCAGGTGGTGGCACCTCTGGATTTTGAGGCAGAGCGAGAGTATGCTTTGCGCATCAGGGCGCAGGATGCAGGCCGGCCTCCGCTGTCCAACAACACGGGCCTGGCCAGCATCCAGGTGGTGGACATCAATGACCATACTCCTATCTTTGTCAGCACGCCGTTCCAGGTATCTGTCTTGGAAAACGCGCCCCTGGGCCACTCGGTCATCCACATTCAGGCAGTGGATGCAGACCATGGGGAGAATGCCAGATTGGAGTACTCCCTTACTGGTGTGGCACCTGATACTCCCTTTGTGATAAACAGTGCAACTGGCTGGGTCTCTGTGAGTGGTCCCCTGGACCGTGAGTCTGTGGAGCATTACTTCTTTGGTGTGGAGGCCCGAGACCATGGCTCACCCCCGCTCTCTGCCTCAGCCAGCGTCACAGTGACTGTGTTGGATGTTAATGACAATCGACCTGAGTTCACCATGAAAGAGTACCACCTACGGCTGAATGAGGATGCAGCTGTAGGCACCAGTGTGGTCAGTGTGACCGCTGTAGACCGTGATGCCAACAGCGCCATCAGCTACCAGATCACAGGAGGCAACACTCGGAATCGCTTTGCCATCAGCACTCAGGGTGGCATAGGTCTGGTGACACTGGCTCTGCCACTGGACTACAAGCAGGAACGCTACTTCAAGCTGGTGCTAACTGCATCTGATCGTGCCCTTCATGATCACTGCTATGTGCACATCAACATCACAGATGCCAACACTCACCGGCCTGTCTTTCAAAGTGCCCACTACTCAGTGAGTGTGAATGAGGATCGGCCAGTGGGTAGCACCGTGGTGGTCATCAGTGCCTCTGACGATGATGTGGGTGAGAATGCTCGTATCACCTACCTACTGGAGGACAACCTGCCCCAGTTCCGCATTGATGCAGACTCAGGGGCCATTACGCTACAGGCCCCACTGGATTATGAGGATCAGGTGACCTACACATTAGCTATCACAGCTCGAGACAATGGCATTCCACAGAAGGCAGACACCACTTATGTAGAGGTGATGGTCAATGATGTGAATGATAATGCTCCGCAGTTTGTGGCCTCCCACTATACGGGGTTAGTCTCTGAGGATGCCCCACCTTTTACCAGTGTCCTGCAGATATCAGCCACTGACCGGGATGCTCATGCCAATGGCCGGGTCCAGTACACTTTCCAGAACGGGGAAGATGGGGATGGAGATTTTACCATTGAGCCCACCTCTGGCATTGTCCGCACAGTGAGACGGCTGGATAGGGAGGCCATACCAGTGTATGAACTTACTGCCTACGCTGTGGACCGAGGTGTGCCCCCGCTTCGGACTCCAGTCAGCATCCAGGTGACGGTGCAGGATGTGAATGACAATGCACCTGTCTTTCCAGCTGAGGAGTTTGAGGTTCGAGTGAAGGAGAACAGCATTGTGGGTTCGGTGGTGGCCCAGATCACGGCGGTGGACCCCGACGAAGGTCCCAATGCCCATATAATGTACCAGATTGTGGAAGGGAACATCCCTGAGCTATTCCAAATGGACATCTTCTCTGGAGAGTTGACTGCACTCATTGACCTGGACTATGAGACTCGTCAGGAATATGTAATTGTAGTACAGGCCACGTCTGCCCCTCTGGTCAGTCGAGCCACTGTGCATGTCCGCCTCATTGACCAGAATGACAATAGCCCTGTGCTCAACAACTTCCAGATTCTCTTCAACAACTATGTATCCAACCGCTCAGACACCTTCCCCTCAGGTATCATTGGGCGCATTCCAGCTTATGACCCTGATGTCTCCGACCACCTCTTCTATTCTTTTGAGCGGGGCAATGAGCTGCAACTGTTGGTGGTCAACCAGACCAGCGGAGAGCTTCGACTCAGTCGCAAACTAGACAACAACCGCCCACTGGTGGCCTCCATGTTGGTGACTGTCACAGGTAAGGGGTGGGGGCAGGCAAATGACTTGTCCGGGCCTCAGGGGCTCCACAGGGCACCTCAAACCAAAGAGAGATTTCCAAGCCTTCTAAGAATCCCTTAAGGATTGGGTTCCTGCACCCCATAGGATCTCCCATAGACCTCACAGGTTAGGTTCACAAGGTCCCTTCGTAGGTTCTTGAGAAGTCTCTGCAGAACCCCAAAGATTCTAGGGCATCTAGCAGACCCTATACTGTATCCACAACCCCAGGTTTTCACAAAGTCCTCCCTAATAGGAGGGTGCAGGTGGGAGAGGCTCTTGTAGTCCTGCCTACTGGAGACTGCAGAGATTGGGAGACAGACTTTATTGGTGTTCATTCCCTAATTCTGGAGCATTTATTCCTGTCACTGCCAAAGAAGGCACAACCTCCATTTATCACTTAATTTACTCAACAACCAACCCTCATCGACCACCCAATGTGTGCTATGGTCTGGGGACAAGGCATATAAGCACCTCATTCTCATTTCTGGGGGTCCCCATTGAGATTGTAGGACCCAAGTCTGGGGTGATGGGCAACTTACCTAAGATTGCTGAGAGTGGGAGAGGTCAGGGTGCAAACCCCTCCTGGTGAGAGGGAGCTCATTGACCTAGGGGTATGGGGTTGAGTGGTTACTGGGCCAGTGCCATGGGAAAGTACTTTGCTGACTAGAGATAGGGGATGGATGATCCCTGACCTAGAACTCTCTTTGTTTTTTGGAGAGGATGTTTTGCTGGTTCTGCAGTGCTGGGGAATGGGGGGGGGATGGGTGGTCAGTGGCCCTGGCTCCTTTTTGTGTCCTGAGTGGGGGTGGCCTGCTGACTATAACTTGGGGAAGGGTTTGTTACTGACCACTTTGGACCCTTCTAGTGTTTTGTTGGAGGAATGGCTTGCCGACCTATGAGCACGGGGTGGGGAGGGGTTGCTGGTTCAGGACCCTCCTGTGTTGGAGGGAGGGGAGAGGAAGCAGCAACTTGTTGACACCTTGACACTGGGAGAGCTGGTGGTCACAAGTCCCAGACCCTTTGTCTCTTGGCCAGATCAGCCTGCTGACTCAGGTTCTAGGGGACTGGGCAGTCACTGGCCCTAGCCGTCTTGTGTCCCAGGGAGGGCAGCGGCTGACCCCAGACTAACCACTGCCCCCACCCCTGCCCGCAGATGGGCTGCACAGCGTGACGGCGCAGTGTGTGCTGCGCGTGGTCATCATCACGGAAGAGTTGCTGGCCAACAGCCTGACCGTGCGCCTCGAGAACATGTGGCAGGAGCGCTTCTTGTCACCGCTGTTGGGCCACTTTTTGGAAGGCGTGGCCGCGGTACTTGCCACACCTACTGAGGACGTCTTCATCTTCAACATTCAGAACGACACGGACGTAGGGGGCACTGTGCTCAACGTGAGCTTCTCGGCCCTGGCGCCGCGCGGGGCGGGGGCTGGCGCGGCGGGCCCCTGGTTCAGCTCCGAGGAGCTGCAGGAGCAGCTGTACGTGCGCCGCGCCGCGCTGGCCGCCCGCTCGCTGCTGGACGTGCTGCCCTTCGACGACAACGTGTGCCTGCGAGAGCCCTGCGAGAACTACATGAAGTGCGTGTCGGTGCTGCGCTTTGACTCGTCCGCGCCCTTCCTGGCCTCGGCCTCCACGCTCTTCCGACCCATCCAGCCCATCGCAGGCCTGCGCTGCCGCTGCCCCACCGGCTTCACGGGAGACTTCTGCGAGACGGAGCTCGACCTCTGCTACTCCAACCCGTGTCGCAACGGCGGCGCCTGCGCGCGCCGGGAGGGCGGCTACACGTGCGTCTGCCGCCCGCGCTTCACCGGTGAGCTCGCGCGGCGCTGGGGGCACGCCCGGAGCTGGGGGGACCTCAGGCGGAGCGTGAGCACGGGGATGACTCGAACCAGCCGGTCGCGAGACCAGAAGCTGCAGGGCCCTGGCCCGGGGCCACCGAGGGCTATGGCCTTAGTCCCGGCTGAGGC